CAGTCGGCACAGAGGCCACTGATATGGGTTATAGACTCGCAGCAAGCAGAGTTGCATGGACCAATCTCACCCAAGGTTAACATAGACCTAAGAAGACTAGCGCAAAACAAGTTTCACCCAAGGGAATCTCGTGCAAATAGATTCACACGCTTGGGAAGAAGCAATGACGAGTGATTGCTAGATGGGAAACTCCAATGAGTTTTATTTTTTCCCTCACACCATCAGACTCTCAATACCCAAAAATTATGGTTTGTGAATGATTGGATTGGTGGTCTTGCACACATTCTACTGATCTTACGAAATCCCATCAAAACAAGTTTCTTTCAGGGGTATCTTAAATTTCAGAAACTAAATTTCAGAAACTAAATTTGCATAAATAAATAAAAACAATTAATCAAATAACCCCCAACAAACGTATAAACTCGCAATCTAATCTACACTTTTTCAATATTGATTTCAACATGTACAAAAACAGTTTGAATTGTGCAAAAGAAACTAAACAAACCGGTGTAGAATAATTGACAAATATTATTGAAAAGGAGTGTTATTGGTTCAATTTTTAGAAGAACGAAATTTGATTAAAATTAATAGAGAACTGAATAATCATGGAAAAAGGTACTAAGAATAATGGAAAATATTGGTATATAAAATATCCTATAATCAAAGATAGGATAAAATATAGGTTGGAACAGTTATATATACAACATTATGTCAACAAATAAGCCTTCAACAGAAGAACATAGAGTTGCACACACTTTCCTGCAATTTTGGAAGCTGGGGGACAGGTACAGCTCCTGCAGCACTCAGTCCACCATGGCTTGAGGATGTCTCAGATTTATCCTCGAATTTCATGAACTGCCCCAACTGAGTTGCAGCTAAGTGTGCATAGCATATGTTTGGACAAATCATGTTAAACCTATGCATCAAATTTACAACTGAATAATAATAAAATTAAATAACAAACAAGCATTTTCATCCCATGTAGACACATATAAGACTAGATATGAAGAACATGATTTACAACAGGGCAGTGATAGAAATACCATACTAGTATCTTGCCAGTGCAAAGTTCTCCTGCGTCCAATTTGGCGGATCCATCATAGCACAGATATCATATTTCTCAAAATCAGCAACCTACACACAATATCAAGACATTTACATCAGCTATAGACTATTAGAGGAATTAACAAGACACTGTTAGTTAAGTAGCACACAGATATCGCAGATCTGAAACGTGTTCTAGAGAGTCAGAGAACAAAATAGAGTAACTGAAATCACAAAAGCGTAGAAGTTTGAACCTTGTTTTCAGACTTCGTTTTGAGTTTTCTGAACACGTCGCTCTTGTCGGTGAAGCCGTCGGAAGCCATTGAAATTGGACTCCATATTCTCTAAAGAAGAAGTACTTGTGTCATGTTGTGTTGATTTATCAAGAGGATCTGAGTCACTACTCTTTTGAAGCATGGCATTCTTCAATGTTGCACTATAATATTCAGATTCTTCTTATTGCAAATTTGATGCCTCAGTTGAGATGCTGCTAAATATGATTAGCAGATAAACACAAGTCCACAACCAGAAAGAAAAAAGTTTCAAACACTAAATATCAAAATAAGCAACAATCTTCAGAAAATAAAATTAAATATTTAGCAGAATGATAAGGGTGTGTCATCTCTTCTGTCTATTTTTTTTTTCTACAAAATGAATGAATAACAACCATAAGCTGACAACAAAAAGAAAACGAGACAGACTTCTATCTCACAGGGAAAATTTTGTCTCTCTACTTTTTCCCTCTATCGAGGATTGGACACATGAAAGCGTGTTTTAGTTCAATCATTATGGTAGTGTTCATCTAATTGACACATTCAAGGTTGAACCAACAATCTCTTAGAAGTTTCTTTCTTTAGGGGTCACAACCAATTAGCCGTGTCAAGAATCCACGCACCCTAGACCCTGTATTCAACCTATTCACAGAGCTGTAAGAAACGGTCCTTACTTATGAGACAGATAACAAGTCTGACAAAACCATGCTTATCTAGTAACTGAAGTATCTGTCAAAAGGGAATCAATTTTTAAGTAAATGATTATATGATTATCTTCATATCACTATCTATAAACAAGTTTCCTATATTAACTATGTATAATGAAGTCATTTTCAATGCCTGCTGGGATCCCAACCTGGCAAGCTAATTTGGCAAAAGAAAATTTAGACAACTTGTTTGGGTTTATAGAGGCACATGTTGTATGCCCTATTATATCACGACCTTTTCTACCATATAGGGATAAACAGACAAATACTCTACTATTCCCCACCGGTGAATTCGTTGGTGTGTTTTATAGCGAATAATTAAAGTATGTGCGCAGCATAGGATACCAGATAACACCACTCAATGGGCACTTGTTTGAACAAAAGAAGGGAGCTTTGTTACCGGCATATTCGAAAGAAGACAAGAAGCAAGGAAAAACGGGAAAAATGATGCTTTGTTCTATATTTATAAAATATTATAGAATTCGCTATACCGTACATTTGGCATTAACCCTAAAAGCGTAAAAACAGAAATCTGCAATAAAAAACGTTATGACTATATTGTCAAATATATAAGTTTTATCATGGGTGATAAACTAGAAGATGATAACTATATAGTTTCTTACCATACTACTTCTGATCCAATTAACTGGAAACCAAGGATTTCAGCTGTTCAGTTGTCTGCAGCTATTACTGCTTGTGCTAGAATTTATATGTATCAATTCATCTCAAGAAATGATTCTTACTACACTGATACTGACTCAGTTGTTCTCGATAAACCTCTTCCGAATGAAATGATTTCAACTACTGAATTAGGTAAATTTAAGTTATCTTCTTAGCTCCAAAGACTTATATACTTGATAATAAAAATAATAAAGCACAAGGGTGCTGCCAAAGCTAAAATCAATGATGAATGGTATATAAATCAGTATAATCAAACAAATAAAATTATTAATGTACCTAAAATCTTTATTGTGGTGCCAACAATATTACTACAAACCTTATGTACCATCCAACAGGGCTGGAAGCAGCTTTTCATAAAATTGAGCATACTACAGGAATGCATCAAAAAATGTCAAAATTCATCTTTATTGTGGTGCCAACGATATTACTACAAACCTTATGTACCATCCAACAGGGCTGGAAGCAGCTTTTCATAAAATTGAGCATGCTACAGGAATGCATCAACATTTAGTTGATCAGCCAAAGATGGGCATCCACCGGCTAATTTCATGAGCACAAAGATGACAACCTTTTATACAGTTAAAAAATGAATATTTATAATTAAAACAACAAATTTAACATAAGTTCTGATTAAACCAATATATAGATAAACTATAAATTTTGACATAAGCATACTTTAAGGTCTTGAGCAATGAGAAGAGCTGCACGATCACAAGTTAACTCAGCTGCTCGAAACCAGCGGAATATCTGCTCTTCCAGTGTCTGAGCTATAATACCTCCAATGCCTAAAACAAACTGGATTAATCACGAAAAAAACATTCATAGAACAGACTAAAAAATTGTATTTTCGTGTCAGCAATAAACAAGCTGGAACAAATGGGAGTCAAATATAAATCCGTTCTCAAAATAAGCAATGTTTTCAACAACTAAAGAAAGGACTGGAAATAAGGTTTATGACATTATAGATAAGTCTTATGGTCATAATGGGATAAAAGACTAAGAGTAACATTGATTTCATTCCCAGTTCAGTCAATAGGAGTCAGACAGACAGTATTTCTCCCACTTTAAAAACCCAACATAGTTAAAAACTTCACCATTGTTTATAACATATAACCATATACTAACGAATTCTTTCAAATCACAGGATGATGCTTGGTTGGTCATGATTTCTCTCATCTTCCTACGGATCTGAACAAATATAGGTCTATTTAAATTACTAGTAACAAGCAATATCTTTAGAAAAAACAAAGCATAATCCTAAGTTCAAACCCATTTATCCCTTCTTATTATATCGAAAAGCTCAACCAAAAACATGTGTTGAAAAGAAAGACATTTCGAAATTATATACCCGTTCAATAGGAGTAAGACAGACAATATTTGTCCAACTTTAAAAACCCAACATAGTTTAAAACTTCACCATTGTTTATAACATATAACCATATACTAACCAATTCTTTCAAATCACATAATGATGCTTGGTTGGTCATTATTTCTCTCATCTTCCTACGAATCTGTACAAATAAAGGTCTATTTAAATTACTAGTAACAAGCAATATCTTAGAAAAACAAAGCATAATTCCAAGTTCAAAACATCCTCAATGTGTAGTTGTCAGATGTCTTCACATCCACATGGGCTTCAATTAGTGTTTGCCACTTACGCACCAACGACCTCAATTTGTCAGTGGTGAGACTCATCCCCTAAAGATTCAAATTAAAAATTAATAACAATAACACCTAACAACAATATAACCATAGAGAATAGCTGCAGCAACTTATCACACCCAGAAATTTGTCAGGAGATTCTTTCCTTGAACATTCTCGGTTCTAAGGCTAATCTTCCTGAAAGCGTGTTCTTCATCCCCTTGGAGATCAGCCAGAGAAACCTAAAACACTCTATGTTTGAGTCCAGCTGAAGCAATATGTGTCATTACAAAACAATCATTTTATATTGAAGTATACAAAACTCTAATGGCACAACAATCAAACACATTAAAGACCAAACATAAGGACATCCTTAAGATTCAATAATATCAAAACACACAATACTAGGTAGCAACTTCACTACTTAACTTTATGCTATATTTTCTCAATATAATTACTAGTAATACATAAGCATTTACATGGTTAACACTTAATTAAGTTGTATTTAAAAACTAATGCAGATTCAACAATCACTCAAGAGTTTTGATATCATACCTTAGATCCCTGAGTACAAGAAACGAGGGTTTTGCCAACATTTTTCATCTAAAAAACTAAAGGAGCTTTGATATCATACCAATCCTTTTTTGCAAAGTAATCAGCTCTGCAAATTCAGAGAAAACAAAGAAATCAAAACCCAGAATTAAATTTGAATACGAAATGTAAAGAAAAATTGTGAAAATAAGAACCTTAGAGCCCATACACTAAATCTTAGAGCCCACATGATCCCAGTTGCTGTAGATTCATGTCCAGCAGCTAATAGTCCTATTAATAAATCACTAATATCTCCGTCCTTCATTTTTCTACCATTCACATCTTTCATATCTAATAGAATATCCATAAAATCCTTTTTCTCTCCCATATGTTGCCCATTTTTTATCTTCATCCTCCTTTCACTCACAACAGGTTCTAATATTTTCACTATCTTCTCTTGTGCCTACAATAATATCATGCAAACATAAATATTTAAAACGTCGCAGTTTCGCATCCGAAGCTCTCCGACTACTATCAACTGAGTTGACTTAATAGTAAACACATAGTTTGAGATGAAAGACTATAAAGTGTTTAATACCTTGAGTGCTTTGTGAAAAGTAAAACCAGGAACATTAATGGGAAGAGAGTTCAAGCCATTCATCAAATCCTCAAATAAACTTTCAATCTTTTTAACAACGTTATGATTACAAGAGCCCATAAAAACATGGACAATAGCTGTAAAAGAAACCTTCTTCACTTCTTTCAACAGCTCAACGGGATGCTTCATACTAGATACTTCTTCTAATGAAAATTCCTATAATATAGATATACATGAAATTTCTCTTTTTTTTTAGGACAAAGCAACATCAAAATCTCAAATAAAAACAGATAAAAAAAAAATAGTGAATATACCTTGGCTTTTTTGAGGAAATGTGGATGGTTTGTAAGGTATATGATAGTCCACATGATCCCAGTTGCTGTAGCTTCATGTCCAGCAGCAAACAATCCTATTAACATATGAATCAAAACTCGGTAACAAAACACAAAACAACACAAGCCACACAACACTCCTAAAATCCTTGAGGCATGTGAATTTTCGTTTTTTCATTATTGTTGTGTATGGTTTGCTAGCTAACTCGGGGAACACACCGACACAGATTCTTAATTTTTTTTCTTATTAAAAACAAACTAAACAAGAAATGAATCGGTTCTGAAAAGTATCGAAAAAGAAAATCTGTGAAAACACTCCTAAATCTACCTTAGTTCGTCAACAAACAACAATATTTGAATGGCTAAATCAACCTTCACCCTTCTTTTCATGAGCAAATGCAATGTCGTTGAAATCTCCCAGCCACCAGCCAGGACTCTCTCACAGTAAGGCTGATTTCACACAAGTCATTCCACATAATCCTTCTAGTTTCTATATTAGGACTAGCATAAACAGTAGTAAACCACCAAGTTGCACCATGCTTAGGTTGGATCTTGAGGTGAATATACTGAAACTTTTTATGAATAACAGTTACATTAATGTCTTCCTCCATCCAAGCAATAGCAATGCCTCCTGCATAAATTGATTTTCATTAGAGCAAAAGCCATCAAAACCCAACTTGAGAAGAGATTTTTGGAGCTTGGACTGGTCACAACGAGTTTCCATGATGGCAATCAGCTTAGGCTTGTGAAAACTAGTGTACTGTTTACAATACCTAAAAAAACTTTTGTTAGCTCACCTCTGCAATTCCAAACAAGTAAATGTTGTTGTACAATCATCATAAAATTAGAAAAGGAATGGAAATAGTCCCCTAACATCTCACTGTTCAATCAGATCAGTGGCTTTCGCCTTGGAGATCAGCCAGAGAACAGCCTAATCTTCCTGAAAGCGGGATCTTCATCCCCTTGGAGATCAGCCAGAGAAACCTCAAACACTCTATGTTTGAGTCCATCTGAAGCAATCTGTGTCATTAAAAAACAATCATTTTATATTGAAGTATACAAAATTCTAATGGCACAACAATCAAACACATGAAAGACCAAACATCAGGACATCTTTAAGATTCAATAAAATCAAAACACAACATAAAAACCAATATTTGAGGATTAAACCTCCCTCCCAAACATACCCTAAAGAGATTTACCTCAGTTTTCTAGTCAAACATGCAACAAGGTATTCAATCAGCATACTACAAGTAACTATAAATTCATAACCATTTTTGGCCCTTCTCCTAATGATTTGAAATTTTAGATAAGTTGGTAATGTCATCAATAAACTGAAGATTCGGTTATATGCTACAAGTAGCTAGTGGAAACAACTATTTTATTAACCTAGAAGAACATGCAGAAATAGAATGCAGAATTATATAATATAAATAATCATATAATAAACATAATTACCCTACATAACTCATCAGGACATTTTATCCACATTCAAACTACTAATCAGTAACATCTGGTCAAAGGGTAGTCATTACCTTAAATTTCTTATTATGCATTCAGTAGCATTGGCCTCTTCTAATGCAGCAGCAGCAGCTGCAGAAGCAAGAGCTTTCCTTTGCATTGCATCCTAAAATCAGTTCAGGATAAAAGACTAATCATATAATTATATAATAATATAATAAACATAATTACCCCAAAATAACTCATCAGGACATTTTATCCACATCCAAACTACTAATCAGTAACATCCCGCAAACCACAACATCAACAACCGTCCGGCCAAAGACATATTCATCAATCTACAGAAATATATATATTTGTCATTGTTTATTTTTGGAAGAAAAAAAGTAACATTGTTTATTTTATTAAAAAAATGACACTGCCATTAATATAAATATGAAAATTATTAATTTTTCAATTTGAGGGACGGCTAAAAAAACTATGAGTTATATATATTAGTAGACTAACCTTGTCAATATCACACATAACTACTTTCTCCATTGACTTGTGTTTCAGAGCTTCCCTAGCTGAAGAACCTTCACCACCTCCCATAATATACACTGTTTTGGGGCTGCCATTTTATTACCTCTTCATATTAGTTAAAGGTTTCATCAAATAAAATTCCATTCAACTCTATAAAAAAATATACTTCCTTCATTTTCACTATTTAAAAAATAAATTTTTGAGTTTCACTTTATAAAATATTTAAGAGTTTAACAATGTAGTTTTTATATGAGTTGTAAAATATTGATTAATTATTAATGAGTATGTTACAAAATACACATGAGATGTAACCAAAAAAAGAAAAAAATACACGAGTTATAAAATGATTAATTTCCTTGTAATGCTATGAAAAACAAGGAATAGAAAAAGGAAGAATATTACATCAAGGAATAAGAGAGTGCATAAAAATAATTGACGTGGTAGCTGCTTACATAATTGATGTGCAGTGCATGTCACAAAGAGAATCATGCTCTCCATGACGATTCTCTCTACCCATTAATGTCCATTTCACAAAAAAGACATTCTTCGATTTGTAGGTTCCACCTAAATGCCGAAGTGGTTCTCAAGAAATTTGTATCTATTGGTACATTTTCCAGTACCATTTATTTCCAGTACTGTGTACAACTACAAGTACATCAAGCACCATTTTGAGAAGTTCAAGCTGTCTGTTTCTTGTTGTCAAAATGAAGTGTCAAACATGATACGAAATTCACACACGCAATTTTAAGATTTTAAATTCATATTCTAGTAAAAATGTTTATTATAAATGTATCAGTATAGTTAAATTAGGTAGGTGAAAAATTGAACATTGAATTTATTAGCCAACAACACTAAAGTTTGATGAATATAATTTTATTATGACGTTGATTTAGATGATTAGTATATACCTTTACACTGAAAATGGAGCAACATTGTATGAATTTCACAGCCATTGGTTTCACATTACTCCCTCTGTTTTAAAATAAAAGTTTTTTAAAATTTTTACACAAAATTTAAGAAAACTAATGATTGAATGAATAAATGTGATAATTTACAAAAACTGTTACTATTTACTATATGATTAGTAAAATGGATATTGAAATTAATAATCTAATTAGTAGTGTCACAAAACACAGCAGAGTAGGAACCATATCATCTGTAACCATTCAGATGACTTCTTTATCCTGAGTAAGCTTGACAACTGACACCTGATTATAAGTTGGTTGGTACTTCACACGAAAAGCAAACTCGTTCTCTATAAGATTATCTAGGTGTACAAGATAGATTTTAGGATGATCCTCGTTCCTCTTGAGAGAGTTATGGCAATAAATAGAAATCATATATAAACATTAGACATTTATAATTAATGATATTCATGTTCTTATAATATCTTTTCATGTTACATCATATACCAAAAGTAGTTAACATGTTGGAAGTATTCAAAGGATGAAGTTGTACACATAGTAATCAACATCTTGGATGTATTCAAAGCAAGAATATAGCAAGAAAGCATGTCTCAATATCGAGATAATATAATAAGAAGACTGTAACCAAAGCTGATATTCAGTTATGGTACATTGCTTGAATGTCATATGGTTTGTGTAACATGAAAAGGAAAAGTACGTTGAAAGCAATTTAATATTTAATAGTAGAAATGATGGAGTAAGAATGATGTATGTTTGAATACGTTATAAAGCACATAAAAAAGTTGTTGTATAAAGCACACTGTTTTAACAGAAATCCATTTTATGTCTATAAAGCATGGGAAAAAAAGTAATACTTTTCGAAACACAGGAAAGTAAGCTGAAACAAAACATTGATTTCAAGGTTTTGTGAAAAAAAATATAAGAACCGTGAAGATGAACATTCAATAAAATGATTAATCAAAAGTAGTGTGATAAAAAAAGTGTCTAACCCGAACTAATGAAAAAATGCAGAAGATGAAGATAAGAAAATTCATGAAACATAACATATAAATCAGGAATGGGTTTCACAGAAAATGTGTGATGAAGGCGACGAGAAAAAAAAAGGTTCATAGAAGATGTTACCTTAGAGGAAATGGAAGCTGATTAGTGTCTTCTTCAAACTTGGAAATATGACACAAGAGAGGAACATAAGGCCAATCAGTACTGAGATAATATTCCGAAACCCCTACATAAGTCATCAGTACATTTTATCCGCATCCAAGCTACCGATCGGTTTACACTAAAGTGTAATCCTCCTTACTAACTCCACACAACAGTCCCTAATTTTGATCACAAATTATAAAAGATGCATCCCCGTCACTCCCCGATAACTTGGCAACATGTTAGTTACAAGAGAAATCAGGTAAGAGAGGCTTACATCTCTTTGGTGCCAAAGAATTGAACAAAATATTTCTTTGGATCAGGGGCTTTCTCCCATTCCTCAGGCCTACTTATCTGAAAACAAAGTAAAAACCAGTGTCTTAAACTGAAAGCTCAATCAGCCCACCAATCCATATACTGATAACCCAGCAGCAAGTTAGCTACAAGAAACAAAGATTCACAATCAGACAAAAATCAAAACAAAAAAAAAACTTGAAATTCCTAATCCGGACAACTAACAAAATTAGCTACATGAAACAAAGATTTTCAGAGTGCAATACACTCACCATCTAGAAATCATCTTGAAATTTTCCAAAGTGTCTAAAGAACACCAGTCTTCCAAAGTACAAAAGTCAGGTGAAGATGGATGACAGTTCCGAAGTGCCCAAATCATTCTTTTGTTCCTGAAGCTAGGACATCAAAAAGGGAAAGTAACAAATACTTTTCAGTTACCTATCACATTAATACTCTTCAATTAAGATAGCTAGCCTAAATTTAACTTTGGCTGCCTCGTCCTATGGTCCAAGAGTTTATCTTTTAGTTTTAGAAGGGGGGTTTAACTGCTCTGTTATAGACTTTTTGTTCATTGAATATTTAGGATTGCACATGCATTTATTATTATTCACAATTTTGCTAGATGTTCCACATTTTCCCCTGACGGGATCTCACTTGTAATGAGTCCAACCTGGTACTAATGGTGAAAACATCTACTGTTCCTCCAGTTTCGGGCACAGGAACTTGTTCCTCCAGTTTCGGGCACAGGAACTTTTTATTGTACACAATTTTGCTAGATGTTCCACCTTTTCCCCTGACGGGATCTCACTTGTAATGAGTCCAACCTGGTACTAATGGTGAAGACATCTACTGTTCCTCCAGTTTCGGGCACAGGAACTTGTTCCTCCAGTTTCGGGCACAGGAACTTTTTACTATACACAATTTTGCTAGATGTTCCACCTTTTCCCCTGACGGGATCTCACTTGTAATGAGTCCAACCTGGTACTAATGGTGAAGACATCTACTGTTCCTCCAGTTTCGGGCACAGGAACTTGTTCCTCCAGTTTCGGGCACAGGAACTTATTTTGAAGTGCACTTTGGCTTACTTCATTTACACACTTTGGTGTCTTTGTTCCTCCAGTTTCGGGCACAGGAACTTGTTCCTCCAGTTTCGGGCACAGGAACTTATTTTGAAGTGCACTTTGGCTTACTTCATTTACACACTTTGGTGTCTTTGTTCCTCCAGTTTCGGGCACAGGAACTTGTTCCTCCAGTTTCGGGCACAGGAACTTATTTTCATTTCCACACGATGGTGTGCTTATTAGCATATGCAGTGTATCCTATGTGTTAAGTTGTTAAGTCTTTAAACAGCAGTGTGAGCCTCCCCTAACTAAATTCTACAAAGAGCTCTTTTTCCATATTTTAAGGCATAATTGAAAAACCATAATTCATTTCAGCAGCTAGAGAATTAACAGTAAGAAAGAAACAAAGACAACAGCGACATTCTTATATAATAACAATGAACAAGCATTGTGCATGTGAAATGAGAGTAAATTTCATAGAATAGACCCAAAACAAATAAGTGTTAATGCAGGAATAGGATACACCTGATTATCTTCCTGTTGATTATCTTCCACATCGAAAATAACATCTACAAGAGCAGTGTAATTATCTGCTTCAATAAGCTCCCAGTTTCCTTCATACAATTTTATCAGTTTCTTTAACACTGGTTTCACTTTGGATTCATGAATGCCAAGGTTCGTCATCGTGCGGAAAACTGCTTTAACTTTCGGATTGGGTGGTGTCAGTTATGATCAATCAGTCACAACTTTCTATACTACACGCTACAAAATTCAACAAAACCACAATCATATTTCAATGATTTTCAAGATGAAACAAAATGTAGTATATGATTTAGAAATCACAAATACCAGCTACTCTTACCGAACTACGATTCGGCTGAAGTCAATCTTGATTCTTGAACGGTGATCTTAACGGCGAAGATTAATGCAACAATTGAAACCTATAAACATTCAAGGACAAAAGAAAAACGTAAAGTAATCGTCGGAGAACGAAAAACATAACGGAGAGTGAAAAAATTGAAGTGAAAACAAGAACGAAAGTTGAAGAGATGGAACAGTAAAGAAAACATTGAACCTGTGAGAGTTGAAGAACAAGACAGTGTGGTCGAATGCCAAGGATCGTCATTGCGCAAAAAGCCGCTTTAACTTTCGGATTGGGTGGTGCCATTTATGATCAATTCAGTCACAGCTTTCTATACTACACGCAACAAAATTCAACAAAACCACAACCATATTTCAATGATTTCCAAGATGAAACAAAATGCAGTATATGATTTAGAAATGGTTTAGAAATCACAGATAGCAGTTACACTTACCGAACTACGATTCGGCTGAAGTCAGTCTTGATTCTTGAACGGTGATCTTAACGGCGAAGATTAATGCCACCTAAAGTAATCATCGGAGAAAAGAAAAACATAAAGTAATCATCGAGAAAGAAAAACATAAAGTAATCATCGAGAAAGAAAAACATAAAGTAATCATCGGAGAAAGAAAAACCTAAAGTAATCGTCGGAGAACAAAAAACCTAAAGTAAGAGCACAAAAACGTAAAGAAATCGTCGGAGACGGAGAGTGAAAAAATTGAAGTGAAAACAAGAAACGAAAGTTAAAGAGACTGAACAGAAAAGAAAACGTTGAACCTGTGAGAATTGAAGAACAAGACGATGCGGTCGAGGAACAAGACGATGCGGTCGAGGAACAAGACGAGGGTTTAGAATGTGTTAAATTGGTTGCATTTATAGCTTTCAATTATTTGTAAGAAAGGGGAATGGAGGGAATTAGGTTTGGGAGAGTGAAGAAATGAAGAAAACCAACGATGGAGAAAGAAAGTGAAGCAGAAGTTAGTGATTGCTTAAGCTTAAACGATGGGTACTGTTTTTATACGGTTGAGTATCTCATCTAATTAATTAATGTCTAATCATTTAATAATGCAGTAGTAGAAGCTCTCGTCTATCATTAATTGATTTTATTATTTACACGGTTGAGTATCTAATCTAATTAATTAATGTCTAATCATTTAATATTGTTACTATTTTTGTATATATCAAATTATTTAAACATAATTTTCCTTTAAGATGTTGGTATTAATTCAAACTTACTAAAAAAATTCATGATTTATTGTTTCTTTTATGAGATAATGCGTAATATATTTTTGGTGTAAAATATTTTTACTTAATTCTAATTAACATATTAATTTTTTTAAAATTTAATAATTTGACATATTATTTTACATTATCAACACATATCTATTAAATCCTTCTTTTATTTCTTTTTTGGTAAAATTATTTCCTTTTTTACGTTTAAAAGTAAATTGTAATATATAAGACTCCGTTAAAAAAAATTGCAGAATTTAAAATTAAGAAAGTTCATTAAAATAATAAATTTGTTAATTATTTGTGTATTCTTATAAAGTTATCAAAAGAGATAATTCGTTAATATACATAAATAGAGATAATCAGTTTATATATATATATATATATATATATATATATATATATATATATATATATATATATATATAAGTATTTATTGTGTACCGTACAAAAAAATACAACATTGGATAACCAATTATTAATTCATATTAGTATTTGAATAGGGTGTTATATAAATATTTGAATAGGGTGTTATATAAATGAATTTAATTAATATGTACGGATAATGTAAGTTATTTATTAATTTATATAAAATATTTAATTTTTATTTTAACTATTTAAAAGATAATATTAACTTATCATTGTGATAAATTGACGGTGTAAAACTTTTTATATAAAATGTTCTATATAAAAAGAAAGAAAAAAGAAAAAAAAATCAAAAATACCTTATATTTAGAAATTGATGTAGCAATACATTTGATTTTATATAAAATAAAATAAAGATTATATTTTTAATTAAAATTTCTCACAATTTATAAAAGTTTTTTATATTTAAAAAATGTATTTTTTGATGAATTCTTTAATAAAATAGATTTTGAAAATATTAAAAAAAATATCCATATGATACCGATGTGAAACCGCACAATATGGTCTTGTCAAACTACGAAGGCAAAGTAGGTTCGACCATGGGAGTTATACAGGTGGATGTAACAGTCGGATCATGGGTGGAATCTTTCAACCATTAATCCAAAACACGACCCACACCAATCAACTGTTAGCAGTACAGTTGACACGATTGGCTGAATTCATGGGGGTACCTCCTCCGGCTAGGAATCAGGCCCTAGTAGAAAACATCACACGACGAGACTTAGAAAACATGGTTGAAGCCAATATGGAAAACCAGGGTAGGTTCGAGCCTCCCGTATTCGAACCACCTAGGGTCGGACCGTTAAGAGATCAAGTTCAGGCTCCAGGGGAGAGGGACCCAGGAGTAATCATAGTGAATCGAAACCAGGACGCAGACAATATCGTCCAGCAGGTTCGACGCAATAACATAACTGTCGGCAATAATTTAGCAGTCATGGTCGAAACAATCATGGCTCGAAATGGTCTAAACATTGGGTTCACTAGGCCAAACTATACGCCTCCAATAGTGGATTACATCTTTCAGACCTCCTAGAACGAAAGTACCCAAATTTACTAAGTTCTCAAGAGATACGACGTAATCCACTGTCGAACATGTTGCTTCTCCAATAAACTTATTCCAGTTGCAATTAATGCTGAGCAATATAAAACTAAATGTGCAATTGTTTTCTTATAGTAACACACTGCATATATAATACTCCCTCTTGTCTTTATAATAAACAACAAAACTAGAATTCATCAAGGCTAAGGAATAGTTGATCTCATTTTAATACTGCACTAAATTTAAATATATTCCATGAATACCCCTGTATTAATTATTCCTAATTTCACCAATTTATTTATTCCTAATATTCTCTCTTCATAATAAATCAGGGTGCGCATGAAATTTAGTTGTCACATGTAATACTTTTAAGTCCATGATACGTCAAATGTAAGAGGGGCAAGTACTGTGTTGAAACTTTTTTTCAAATAGTTTTATATAAAATGGCGTGAAATGCTCAAGTTTTAAGGTGATATTGTTTTGTCCATCATAATAAAGAAGAAACAGAGTAATATATAGGTAAACAGTCCCATAGGGAGAAAAATAGTATCATACCACTTGAAAATTTTTTAGCAGAAGCACCTCCAAATCTTGTAACACGGCTAATGGGGCTACCTACACAAGATAAGTCAATAAAAAAATGTAAATGGAGAGTAAAGTCTCAAATCAACCAAAAGCTCAGAAGTAAGAGCATAATAAAAGTAGTGTATACAATATTCATTAATGAATGGTATGATTTGATAACTCGAAAGTAGTGTATACAATATTCATTAGGGATAAAGTTGGTAAAAAAAAGTAATTAATGTTGCGTTGAAAAAGTAAATAGACACTTATTTTTGGACAAATTTCTTAGGCTAAAAAGACACGTATTTTGGGACGGAGGGAGTATAAGTCTATAACCACAAGAAATAGAGGCTGGCACCTGAAGAGGTGGGGCATGCGTTGCGCGAGCAGTCCAATTGCTTGAAAAGCATAAGTTTTGACTTCCCGAGCAATGACATCTGAGTTAATACTTAAAAATTGAATATGAAATAAAATAAATAATATCCTTCAAATACAATACAACTTAATCCTTTAAGCAAACCTGCTTCTGAAGTAAAATAACTGTCAAGAGACTTCATAATTCCACTCAAAATAATAGGCCCATTAACTTAAGCTGCTCAATTTTTGCCTGCATTTATATTTACAAATATTAGAGATGATGAAGGAATAATGCCTCAGTATGGGACAAAAGTATGTGTATAATAACAGTATACAGGACAAAAGGGTGTGAACTCATTTGTAATGCATCTCACTAGGTATGTTGAGATTCATGTTTAACTGAACTCATCACACCGAGGTAACAACCATAAATAAAGATAATTCAATTCAATTAGAACAAAGACTTTTCTTTTTTGATGTAATGCTCTCATGAAAATATTTTCAATAAATGACACGTATGAAGCAACAATGCACTAAATCCTCTCGCCTCAAACCTAATAGAACCTTATGGATTTAGAGCCAATGCTAGCTGAAATCTTTTAATCACAGCTTCCTTAAACTCATTACAAATGGGATTCGATGTGCAAAATTCCCAAAACTGCATCCACAAGAGGGCATTGCCTTCCATAGCTTCCAGAACAGCTTCCGTTTTTTTCCCATACACCCTTCAACCTAAAATACTTCCTATCTTACCGATCCGCCCAGTAG